GGAGTGTCACTCTGGCAATTTATCCTCCGGTCTCAGCCTGTTATCACAGCATCTTGCTGAAGTTATTTTAGCTACAGAGCAGCTTTCTGGCTTCCTGTGTTGTCCCTCAGTGTTCTTCCTAATTGAAGGCTTTTAACATTAACAGCATCTAGCAGCTGTTCTTCTTCAGGACTGGAGGGGAGGGCATCAAATCTTTTGGTTAAACTTCTGTAAGGAATGGAAATGTGCCTAAGTAGATGTCCTTCAAGTGACAAGCCATCCCCACTCTGCCAGGGGCTCCTTTTAGCCATGGTTCCCATAAATTTACCAACCATACATCATCCCCAAGCATGAATCAGTGATCTCTGCTTGAATATTTCCTCCAGGGCCAGTCAAGGGGTTACACATAGTTTGGTGGGAGTTGAAGGCACCCAGGTCCAGTGCTGCACCATAGAATCATAGAATAGTTAGGGTTGGAAAGGACCTTAAGATGATCTAGTTCCACCCCCTTGCCACAGGCAGGGACACCACACATTAAGCCATGTCACACAAGACTCCCTGCTGTGCCACCTGTGGGTAATATACTGGACAAAACTGGATGGTTTCACAAGGGGCTCCTATGCATGGAGAGGCAGAGCACATCCCTGGCCAACAAATGGAGCAGCAGCAGCTGGGAGCTGCGGGGTCCCACCTTGGTGGGTCTTGCTGCATTGCATGGAGAGGAGCATGCTGTGAGCAGCAGCTGCCAAACAAAATAGAAAATGGATGGGACGGTAGCCAGCTGGACACACTGTGCTTTGTGCCTGCAATTTCTCTCCAGCCAGGGTGGGATCTGCACAGCAAAAAAGCTGCCCGAGTCCTCAGAAGAGGGCTAGGATTTACTTTTGTCAAGGCCTTGAAAGTTTTGAAGTCCAGAGAGAGACAAGAAGCAGCATGCTCCACCAGTGCCCAGGGGAAATTGCAACAGAATCACCAGTCAAAAGCATTCAAAGATCACAAACCAGACCCAGATGATCATGAATCACAGCTTAGAAACCGCAAACGGTTCTTAAGCCTCTTCAAAATTATGGCATTTACCAACAGGCTCGTTTGGGCTGGTTCACATTCTCCAGCCTTCTTCTGAACCCAACAGAGAGAAAATGGGCTAAAGCAAAAGGAGAGCTTGGGCGATCCTGGGACTTCAGCCAGAGCAAGACCTATATCCCAGTAAAGTCCATCCATAAAGCTCTTAGGTGTCATCAATGTTTTAATCCCTGTTTTAAATATTAATATAACTGCAGAGATAAAAGCAGTATCCCTGAAAGCACAGGGTAGTCCAGTCCAGCACCCTATCCTCAGAATGGATCCAGAGACTTCCTCCAAGTTTTTTGCCTCTCCATTCCATTGCTGACTTTCTAAGTTTCATAATGTTAATTCTAATTTATAATAATACAGCATCATAAAAGCAAAGCTGGGCATCATGATAATTATTTATGACTTATGCTTCTGGCCGACATTGAGTGTTTCTTTAGAGGCTTTAATTATCATTTATGCATCTTTGTTCCTCATCCATAAAAATCCCAGGGCTCTGTATGGCTGAAAGCTGAATTTATAGGATCCTAGAAACAGCAGAGCCTGGAGTCAGTGAGAAAGGCTGCTCCTAACCACCACAATGCCAGATCCTGTGAAAGAACACAAATGTCGGCAGGGCACAAAGAAATGAAGCAAAAGTGATAGTCCCAGCAGGTGGAACTGTAGCTCGTGGAGTAAAAGGGTCTTGTGAAGGCTGCATGTGATCCATGTCTGCACTAAGATGGAGATTTACAGGGATAGTTCTCTGGACCTGAGGTCCCAAGCGGGCAAGAGCTTGGCAGCACATATATTTGGGCTCAGGGGCACTGGCACCTGGTGCACCCTCCCTCCTGTGGCCTGCAGGGTATCTGCAACCACGGCTGCCCAGCCTTCTGCCAGCAGTGTCTGATCACCCTCCAGGTAATGCAGGAGGATGCTTAGGGAAAGCCTGACCTCAGACCATCAGGCAGCTCTGCAGCTCAGCCTGAGCAGAGGAACAAGAACAAAGCTCAGGGATGTCTCAGCTAAACCAACAGATGCAGGACAACATAATCAGCATCATCGCCTGCCTCCAGCCTGTCACTGTCTGCTCCTGGCAAGCACTTCAGTACTGGAGGAAGGCTGTGCAAGTCCAGGCACTGCGGGGCTGCATTGAGCTTGAAAGCAGGATGGATTTCTTCTTCCAAAAAAACACAGAGAGAAAACTTCAGGATGCAACATCTCTGAATATTTCCTACAGAAACCACAGCATAATGTGGGAACCTCAGCCGGTTTTTAACAAGTTTCTTGTCAAGTGGGGTTTGAAACTATGAGCCAGGGGCTTCCAGAAGCTCAGAAAATGGGAAGGAATGAAGAAAAGAGGATCTTGGCATGGATGAATAAGGATAAGAAGGAAAAGCATACTGCAGGCAGCAGCCACAGGCTTTGGCAGCCACTTCCTCATGTAGAAGGAAAAAAAACAAGTTAAAAGCTGCTTGGGGAAAGGAGGTTCAGCAGTGGATTATTTCATCTCCATTACCACAGCAAAAGCACTGCTGCTCCTCATATCCCTGATGGGCTGCAGACAGTGCGTTCACTGCAAAGCACCTCACTTCCACAACCAGGCTGAAAACATGCAAGGCATCAAAAATAATGTCATATTTATTAGGGAAGCACTTCAATTGCAAAGCTCACAGAGGGACGTAGTGAGCTGACTACATGCAGAAATCAAAAGGAAACCCTTGATCGAAAGGAAATGTTTAGCCACTATGTTCAAAGGCTCCCTAAAATCAAAGACAAAACCCTTCTTTAATCAGGGCCATTGACCACAGCTGAAAGCACACAGAGCTGCTAGCAGTGCCTTCAGCATCACCTTTCACAGCACAGCTACAGGTGCCAATACTCTTACACCCCAGCATCTTTCCCCAATATCCCATATCTGTGTCCTGGGAACAGTTCTTGGAACCTGAAACGAAGGCCTGTTTTGTAGGGACAACAAACATCAGCCATCAACTATGGTCCAAAACATCACAGTGCCCCTAGTTTAGCTTTAAACTTTCAGCCTCCTCTTTCAGCTTGAGCCATTGTCATTAGGAAAAGAAGCAAGAGCTAATTGGGCCTTATCTAATCTTAGCCCAACCCAATGGTCAATAGCAGTTAGCCAAAGTTTATCAGCAGTGTTTAACCATCATTTATCAGCTTTGGGGAGATTTCACTCAGGCAGGTGTGTGTCATGCTGACGCACAGGCGGGGTCAGGGAGTATTGCTTTTCCACACCCCAGAGCAGATACAAACGATTAACACAACAATAAGGACACATTTGTTGTGGCTAAAGCACACAGCATTAGATGCTGTCAGGGTAAGAGTTCACCAAGAATAAAGTTCAAATGTAGAAATGAACTTCTGAACTAACGTGGGTCTCATGGTTCCCTGTGGCAGCAGAACCATGTCTGGAAGCATGCTCAGTGTTTTCACATCTGAGCTTTTCCCTCCTCTTTTCTGGCACATTCAAGATCAAAGTCCAGCAACAGAAACATCACCAAAAGCTCTAGCCCACGTCCGCTACTTTTTTCCTTTTCCTCTCAAAATCTCATTTCTATCGGTCTGTGAAGGAGTGCACTTCTCATTTTAAAACCTCTCCATAGCTAACAGGGAGAAGTGTTGTCAGAAATGAAAGACTTTTTTCATAGTTTGCATTACTTTTCCCTTCCTTTCCACACCTTTCTATTTTTTTTAACAGCCAGTTTTTCCCATGGAGCTAAGCAAGCTGAGAGCTCTCTGCTGGAAAAGTCTCTTTGCCCCTAATTGAAATGGTACAGTGAGATGGACCTAAGAGTTTCATCCTCTTTGAGCCACATATTTCATTGAAATCAGAAGTACAATAGTGTTTTCCAGAGTCTTGGAGAGGTGACCTAAAGGCAACAATAACTGGAGGCAGACGGGCTCTTTTATCCAAACAGGACAGGGCAATAGAGACCCAGGATCCTTATTAAGAATGCTTAATACCAGAGCTCCCTGTTGAGTTACCCCACACACACTTCAGAGCAATGTCCAGCCTTGGACAAGGGACATGTGATCCCTGGGAGCAGGGACAGAGGTGGTCTGAACTATGCAGAAGGTCAGATTAGACCAGGTCATTTTCCAGGAGTCTGTGACCCTGAAAGGAAGGTACATACCATATATTCTATGATCCTATTCTATGATTCTATATGCTTCCCATTTGTATATTGCTGTGTGGCAGAGGGCGTGGGCAGGGAGTGCTACTTCTAGTTCAGAGAACAGGGGGTGCCTTGCTGGAGGAAACTGAAAACTCTGTTTGCACAATTATCGGCCACAGCACTTAATCACTCTGCCCTGGATCTCTGACAGCCCCAGGGGCAGTCAGTCGGATACAGAGGTGGGAGGCAGAAAGGATTTAATAAAGAAGCATTTTATGAAGAATTCTTTGCTTTTGGCATTTTCTGTAAGAGTGGGTAAAACGATACTTTTCCTCCAGTGCTGCCAGGGAAGGCAAGAAGAGGAGAGCTCCGTATTTCAGCTCCTGGGCAACCAACCCCATGTGCTGCCACTGCCTCCATGGAGATCTCACATGGGAGCCAAGGAGATGGGTACAAGCAATAAGGGAAGAATGTCTTCACAGGAGCCAGCACCCACTGCACTGTTCCTGACCTGGGATCACTCCCGGGTGGACAGCGGCAGCAGTTGTCCCATCTGCAAGGGACAGAGCCCGGAGGCCCCCACTGTGACCAGAGTACACCACAATCCAGACGTATCCCCACCAGTTGCGTGCCACTACCCAGTAAGCGACAGCAGATGAGGGAAAGGTTTCTGCAGTCTGGGTCCATGGGGTTTGGTATCAGGGCAGTGGTGGAAGAGCACAGGCAAAGGGGCCAGAGGCTAGGATGCCAGGGTCCAGGAACTTGCCCCCACACCAGGGAGCTGTGCAATCACACCTAGGCAATTTCAGCCAGTAATCCCCACAAACACATCACCTGTCCTTGGTATGTTCATCCTCTTCAGGAAGCATTTGATGGCCATTCAGGCACAGTCCCTTCTGAACAACCCAACAAGCTATGATTTATGTGATGCCTTTGTCTTCAGACACTGCTGTCAGCAATACCCATTCTCAGACAAAGCTGCTGATGACTGCAAATTTCCAAAGGTCACTGTCATGGACACGCTGCCCTTGCTGAAGGTTAAAAACAGAAGCTTTAGTAAAAGTAGAAATGCTAATTTGATAATTCATTAATTTTCCCCTGTGGCTATCTTCAGCCGCCTCCCCAGAAACCAGAGGCCCCAGGGGCAATGTTTCCAGGACAGAAAACAGTATATACTGTTCTGGGCTCTAAAGACACCTCTACAGCTGCAGAAAAGAAGTGATATTTTCACAGCAGCTACTCCCAAGATCCCTTTTCCCAAACTGTCAGAGAGTTCAATATCTTCCATGTATCCAGAGCAATAAAATAGCTTTCCCAGCATTAATGGGAAAGAATCAATGACAAAAATCAGTACAGACCAAATTATGATTGGGTTTGGTTTGGCTTTCTGCAGGAAAATCAATGTTTGATCAGTATCTCCTGGGTACAAGAGCAGCTGATCACTGCACCCTGGCCAGCTATCACCTTGCTGATGCAACAAGTCTTGAATGGATGGTGCCTGAATGGATTCAGCTGCACCATTCCCTTTCCTCCAACCAGCTTGCAGACACCTCCCCATGGGCTCCTGCATGTGTTGATGACCTCCTCCTCTCTATGGGCACACCACTGCACAGGGCTTGCTCTTCTGCACTTTCTGTGCTGAATGCTTTCAAAACCATCTCAGGTACCATAAGCAAAGTCCTGGGTACCCCTGCAAGCTTCAGGCCCGGCTAACCCAGCAAGTAACAGAGCTTTGGGAATTTTTAGCCTTTAAATCCAACACAAGTAGCTTTTTGGACCTGAGAGAGCTTTGAGCATCTTAGGAGCTATCTTTTGTGACACCCTGGGCTTCACATTTGCATCAGCCTTTCTGCAAACTTCACTCATCCCACTCATCACAGGGCAGCAGCAAACTCTACCTGACTTGTTAACCATCCTGAGCACAAGATCCTCCTACAGGTCCCCAAAAGTGCCTTCCTTTCCTGTATCCAAGAAAGGTCCCTACAACCTCCACCAAGGGATGCCACCAGCACAGGGACATAGTGTGGGTTTTGGCTGCATAGTCACTCCTTGGTGGCAGAGCATGGAACCCTGTTGGGATAAGGCTGAGGGGTCACATCTCATTTGTACTCCCAGCCCTAGCACCACCAGTCAAGTGTCACAACATCTCCACTACCACCCCAATTCCCAGTAGCTGGGGCTGCAAGAGGAGCTCCACTTTTACTTTAGTCCGTTTTCTCTCTGTTGGGTTCAGAAGAAGGCTGGAGAATGTGAACCAGCCCAAACGAGCCTGTTGGTAAATGCCATAATTTTGAAGAGGCTTAAGAACCGTTTGCGGTTTCTAAGCTGTGATTCATGATCATCTGGGTCTGGTTTGTGATCTTTGAATGCTTTTGACTGGTGATTCTGTTGCAATTTCCCCTGGGCACTGGTGGTTTTTCTCTCTACATAAAGTCTTCAGAAAAAGCAAATTCCAGCCTTGGTACAACAAGTGCTCCTCCAGCCTGTCATAGATGGGCCATAGCAGGAAAATAAGTAGGTTCCTAAATTCTATAATCCTTCATGAAAATCAAACTTTTTCATTTCCCTGCAATGCAATTTTTTATTCCTTTGCAATATTTTCCTATTGAAGATAAAATGTAATTTGACAGTACTCAGACACTCATCCTGAAGGAAAATCACCTCTTCCTGTTGATCCACTTAGACGCAGACCTGCCGCCTTACCCACCACCCCTTCCCTGCATTCCCGTGTGTCAATTTCCCCTACAAGTGCCTTGCAGAAGCCAAAAGACACCACCAGCAATAGCAGAGGTCTTCCATCCCACACCGTGTGTGATGGCCATCACCCAACAAGGCAACCAAGGGGAAGCCATCCCATAGCAGCACCGGCTCTGGGGCCTGCTTGTCTTCTCCATTTCTCCATGGCAAGTGTTGCGCTCGGCGAGTCCCACCGCACGGCTGGCAGAGCCGCCTGACTCATTTTTCTCTACTCCTCCAGCTGATGTGTTCAGAGGAACACGCTGCTCTGACAAGGTGACACATCCTGAGAAAGCCCACACTGATGAAGACATCTCCCTGCTCCTTCTACCAGGAGCACCCAGCGCAATAGCAGTTCGCAGCTCTTTTTCATTCCTCCCCAGTCAAATCAGCCCCAAGGCATCTCTGATTTTCATGAAGGATATAATATAGATGTCAATCAGGAGAGAGGAGCCCTGAAATCCCACATTTTTGAAGGCATCTCATAAACACACAGATGTCAGTAGAGGCATTTGGGAAGGAAGAGCAATTGCTATCGGAGAAAACTGCATTAAAAACCTAGTGTGGCTGCTGTTGGGCTGCAGCAGCATTAGCAGCCTATATGGGAGGCTTCTTTTGACAGAGGGAATTGACCTTGACTCAGTTGGTTTGGCTCAGTTTGTGGCAGAATAAAGTTCAGTCCATCGTAAGCATAATCTGGAATTTCTTCAACCTTCTTCAGCAGTAAAGTACTTCATCTCCTACAGCTCTGAGAGGGGTTACAAAGATTAAGTCAGTGCAAATCTTTCAGGAGCCCAAGCAATAAGAGGATAAAGACAGAAGAGTCCAGGAGGCAAGGGCTGGTCAACAGCCTGTCTCTGCTTTGATGCTTCTGACTTGTGGAGGAAGGACAGGAGAAAACCGCAGGGTTGTACACACTTCAAATGCCCCAGGAGACAACGCAGTTCCCATCTGCAGAGCAGCTGTGGTAAACACTGAGGATTTACCCATCAAATTCAAGTTTGGAAATGTGCCTAGATGTTTCTGAAGAACCTGAGAAAAGATGTTTCTGTTTCTGGACAATCCAAAGTATCACATTTCCTGGCTACAGCAAGGATCTCTAAACTGAAAAAGGTGCAAACATGTTTTACCAGGAGTGGGCACATCCCAAACAGGGGTAATCAGAGAAACTCTTCAGCACTGCTCTATTTGCATGTGTTACAGATTGAAAAGTGAAATCTTTTCCCCAGTTTCCCTGGCATATAACCATCAACACTCTTGCTAAGTCCCCTTCCAGCTTTGGGAAGTGAGACAAAAGCACCTATTGGCACCTACTTGGCTTTACTTACACTGGCAGGTGTGTTGGAGGAGTAACAGGGGACAGTGTTGGATCCAGATGAACCTCTTTCAGCTATAAAAAATGATCATACCTCCCACCCTTGCTCCTCAGAGAGTGATTACACCACAAGAATCTTTATCCCAGCCGCACTAAAGTACTGCTGCTTGCTCACAGAGATCCACTCACACCCAGCCCAAATATTCACAGCTTTACTCTCCTTGTTAATAAAATAATAGATAGCATTAACAGCAGTTCTTTCAGCCTCATGTTGCAGGTCCCCCCGGGAGAGCAGAAGGAATTCCAGATGACAGCAGGGAAACTCTCCATCACCTCCAAAGCAAACTCACAAGGGTTGTTTATGGCAGAGGAAAGGATTCTCCAGAGCCACATTTGGGCAGGGGTCTCCCTTGGACAGTGGAGGAGCTGCCGATTGAGCTGAGATTTCTGTCTCCCAAACAGCTCCTTGAATTGCTCTTGGCATTGACTTTTTCCTGTTCAGCTAATTAAAAATCTGTCTTTGAGTCATAAGCCCCCATTAGTAATAATTTGCTTTGCACTTCTCCAGTGATTTATGGCCGAGATATCAAAGTGCTTTAGAAACATTAATTAATGCTTTAAACCCGAGGGACTGATGCACTCTCTGCAATGCACCACTGGTGGAGTAAACGTAGGAAATCCCCAGGGTTTACTCCAAACTGCAGGCAGGGAGAGGGCAAGGGAGCATCATCTGACCCAAGGAGCTGGTTTCAGCTGCCTGCCCGCAATCAGATGTGCAGCCAAAATAACGGCACAGAATGTGCAGCCACAAGTGAGCCTGACACCTCCAAGCTCTCTGCTCTCCCGTAGCAGTTCCTACTGCTGTCCCCATTTGTCTACAGAGAGAAGAGGAGCTGCAACACCCCAGTTCTTCCCTGTGGATCACACCAGGAAAGGCATGTGTGGACCACATCCATCTTCACCTAGAGCTCTGCAAGTGGCAGTGACAGGGTTGTTAATCAAGGCCACATTCCTCATGCTAACACATGGATTTTCCTTGCCGTCCTGCCCATTTCCCCAACCTTCTTCCAAAGAGTCACTCTTTCCCAGCTTGCAGTGCAGACCCAAGGCTGTCTCCCACACCTGAGATGCAGCTCCAGTCCTTGCAAACGATAAGGATCCTTACCTCCATTGGCTTCTGAGAGGCTTTCATCCTTGCGCACACCAATGAGCCATTTGCCACCTGGTATTGTCCCTGTGATTTCAGTGTTGTCACCACAAGACTGCAGGGTGCAGCTGGCCATGTAAGGTGGTGCCAGAGGTGGGGAAAGGTATAAAGGTGCCAGCACAGACTGCCAGAGACAGGATCTCTAAATGCCTCTAAGTGTCCCGTTTCCTCTTTGCTGTCCCCAGCAAAGCATCACCTTGACTATGAAGGCAACTGGTGTTTTCCTGCTCTTCTCCCTGGCACTCTGCTGCTACCAAGGTGAGTGAAACAATTTGTTCAAAAGCCATTTCCTTTCCTTGCTAAAGCTCTCATATCTGCTTCATGCGGACATGAGCCTGGGAATGGGCCAGCTGGTGCTGGGAATTTGCTGTGTCCCTGGGCAGGGAATACCAGAGAATGCTGCAATGGCCAATGTGGATTAAACCAGTGGTCTGTGAGAAAACCTAAAGCAAAGGATTTAAAGGGTTGCCTGGCACCTGCTCTCAAAGCTGAGCAGACCTCCCAGAAGCGGGCTGACACTCTCCCTTCAGGGCTAGGGCTCGGCCTGGAGCTGGTGGTTTCTAGGGCAATATGGTTCTTTTGGAGTGAATAGGTGCTGTTCTGGTTTTAAAAAAGCAAAGCTAAGAAGACAGGAAACGCATCTGTGCGAGTGAAAATGCAGCTCTCATTACCAAAGTCATCATTTAAGCCAACTGTGTTTTCAAAATCCCATATGGTGCAGAGGGGTAAGAACATGAGCTGCTGCTGCTCTTCAGGTCTTGCTCACCAGGGATTTCTGCATTAGTGGGTTCATTTGGAGGAGGAGGGTGCTTCTGAAACAAGTCCTCCATCATCCTATTTACTGTGCCATTGCAGAGCTGTCTCAGCACAAAATCTGCACTCATTTCACATGAACTGAGCATGCAGCGAGCTCCTGGGTCTGGACCAGTGCTAGTCCAAAGTCAAATCTCTGAAATATTAAAAGTGTGGCTATCCAGCCTTCAGCACCAAATGGTTTCACTGTACAGACCCACTGCTATTGGACCACATTGGTTGTTAATATAGATAAAGTCTAAATCCCCCATGTAGCTGACTTATGGATCTATAAACAACCCAAAGTCCTGGCTTGCTCCCACCAACTTTGGCACAAGACCTCAGGGTCCAACTATTTCTCCTTCTAATGGAGACCTTCAGCAATTTATATTTTGCTTTGCTTCCCTGTAGTACAAACCCACTGACACCAGAAAATCACCTTGGATTTACTCCAGCACTCATCCAGCTTCAGCAGGAGTTTCTCGGTTACCCATGAACGTGTCATAAGAGATAACAAAAGCCACCTTTGTTCCCTAGCAGCTGGAAGGGAAAGTCACTAGAAATATGCATCTGGCATTAACAGGGCTTTGCACCATCATGGTGTTTCTGCCAAGGGAAAGAGGCAGATGCAGCTGGGAGGGACCCTAATGCAAATTTGGGGAGATCCAAGGGAAGAAATTGTTTGCTGGGACAAAGGTGTTTGAGTGAAGACATGGTCTTCAGCCTAAAGCATCTTTACTAGGTCCACCTTCAAACCAGCCTGAGTGATGGGTGTTGTCTTCTCTCTTCACTCTTTCCCTAGGAAGCGCTGAGATGGATGGAGCTGCTGGCAAAGGAACAGAGGTGAAGGCTCCTACTTTCATGTAGCACAAAGATATGCCCAGCTTTACTGAGACAGCACTAACCCATACACTGGGGAGCCACGATGCTAAATACAGTGAAGTATAGTGAGATGCTGGGTTGGGACCCCAGAGATGCCAGTGGCTGGGAACCTCCTTCTACCTGCTATGCCACAGCAAAATCCCAGAGATAGTACTGGTTTCTCACTGCATTTCCTCACACTCAGTGGGAAGCTATTAATAAAGAGCTGAATATCGCTGTTACCTGCCAAGAAGATAAGTGCTCCCCTTTCTCTCTGGCTTGCAAGTGCGAGGGCAGGCATTGTTGTGGCATAAAAATAAAAACTGTGAAGAACATGATCAGGCACTGTCCATGGAGCATTACTCAATATTGTTACTCCTAAGGGTGTGCAGCAGTGCCCAGTGGACTTCAGCTGAGCAAGGGACTGGTGACAGGCAGCCACAGTGGTTCTGAGAGCTCAGAGCAGAGCTCTGGGCAAGTTGTGATGGGTTATTAAGATATACAAACTATGCGAATGCAAAGGTCCTTTGGTAAATTGAAAGCATATTTAATATTTCCAGCATTACCCTTTTGTGTCTCCAGGCAGCTTGTGGTGATTATTCCCTAAGAAAAGGTTGTGCAAAGATCTTTGACCCCATCTGCGGCACAGACAACCTCCTATATGACAACGAGTGTATGCTGTGCTTTCAGAACCTGTGAGTACCTGGACCTCCTGCACATCTAAATACCACACAGACGAGGGCCACTACAGATGTCGGGGATTTCCTAGAAAGTGAGCTGTTTGCACGCAGCTGGGTGGAGCATGGGCAGCGAGCCTGGCAAATCTGGCACGGATCTGGCTTTCTGCATGGATGCTGCACCCACTGCTCCAAACATGTGGACACTGCCTGTGAAATAGCTCCCACACAAGCTGCCCATAAGCAGGGACCGCACAGCCAAAATCTCCCCTTACCTGCAGCTGCCAAACTGCAGGGATTGCTCAGACTGCTCTGGAGGGTGCCCAGGAACTCAGTATTGGAGTCCTCAAAGCCTGCCCAGATCAAGCATGCAGGCAGAAAAACATTTTTCCAAGTGACCTCAAATGTGTGGTGGCTGAGGAAAAACTATGGGTTTTCACCCCAGTAACTTATAGCTGAGCTCTGCTTTCTGTTCTTCTCTGCATATGAAAAGGTACAATTTGGGTATTTTTAAGAATGAGCCTTATATTTAATCTGTGCTAGTGCCAGATTGCACCGTTTTAGCAGAAGGCCAGGTCCAAATGCTAGCAATGTCTCTGGCAAGACTTGATTCGTTTAATCTGGCTTGGGCCCTAGCTAATTTTGAGTATATTTATACATTGGAAGTGCTCTGTGTCAGACAAGTGAAGGAATTACTTCCAACTCAATGATATTAGGTGGTTCGAAAATCTCTGTTGGGAAGATTGAGTCTTATCTGTAGCCAGCTGCCCCAGTCTGTGGGGCTAAGGGAGCTTCATCCTTGACTTCACCTGGTGGAGGCAGGGATTTTGGGTGATCAGGCTCACACACCCATCTGCCATCAGCAGAGACATTTCTAACAGAAGCTCAAATTCCAGTTTTTCTACCCTTGGATGAGTGGGCTTGTGGAGCCAAATTTTGCTTTTAGGAGCAGCTCTGCAGTAACAAGAACAGAGTCCAGATCACCAGGAAAAAAAAGCTTGGCTAACAATTGTTGGTCTGGTTGTCTCCTCTTCATTAAGCCAAGCTGCTGCCCCGTATTCTGCTTCTGGCCTGTTCAAATGCTGGGTTCGCATTTATAAAGGATGCAGTCAGGCAGAGACATGCTGAGTGGGATCTCCTGAACAAAGGCGCCATGGTTAATGACCCAGCATGCATGGCAGGGTGGTAATGACCATGCTGGAAGCCAGCAGCCCAGCACCAGCTGCCTGTTGTATTGCACAACAGATGGGGGTGGGAGGTTCGTCAGACACAACATCATTAGGACTTTGGCCATGAACCAAGAGTGGGGTAAAGAGAGCAAGGAAGGCTTTAAAGCCAGCTTCACAGGGAGTGAAGTGGCACTGCGGATGCTACATCCCTCCCTTGCAGAGCCAGAGGTGGTCACAAGAAGGAAAGTTTGGGGTATAGAAAGAAAAAGACTGAGCCAGTGATGTATCCAGAGCTGGCCAAGAGTCAGGGGAGCAAAGCTAGTGCTGACGCTCACTTTGCATCGATAGGCACTTCATCCCCGTACTTCTTCAAACTCCCATTTGAGCAAGCTCTAAGGAGCTGCATCTGGAAATGTGCTGCTCCTGCGGGTCAAAGCCCTGAACTTTGCAGCTCCCCTCTAATGTTCCCAAGTGAAGAAGTTTTAGGGTTAGAAACAATGGCTGTTTGGTCTTCTTCTCAGGGTGATGTTGGCCAGGCAGCAGGAGTTTGAACCTGCCTGGTGCCAAATGTCTCAGGGGAGAGATAAATGGAGCATCCTCATCTATAAAGCTTTAGTCCATGGGGAAAAGTCAGATAGCCAAGAGGCAGATGAAGTGTCATGTGCAGTTCTGTGTGTGCAGCCGGTCTGACAAGAGCTGGAGGCCTGCAAGGAGTCTGGGGATAACTACTGAGAGAGCATCTGGCTGGTCCCTGCAGCACCAGCATCTCACTTGTAGCCTTTGGTCACTTCACTGTGACCAGCGTGCAAAATCTTTATGCAAAACACAAACCAGCTTGAAAATCATCAAACCAGCATTTCTCTTTGCACCTGAGACATGGGTTTGTCTTTCCAGAGAGAACATCATGATTCCACATGAAAATGGAAAAATTCAGGGCAATTAGGTCTGCTACAGTGTGAAAAATAACAGGTGTGGGTTTTTTGCAGGTGCCTTTTTAGTATTTTCCTTGCTTTTGCTGTGGAGGCAATTGGAAGGGGAGGCTGGGAGAAGCCCAAGTCCAAGCAAGACACAATGGCAAGCATTTGCCTGTAAAAATCTACAAAACAAAACCACAACCTTTATCATCTGCATCCAGACAGAGATTACAGGTGTCTTAGTGCTGTCCTATAGCACAGAGGTGAATTATTCTGCCAGGAGGTGTCAGAAATCACCAGCTCTTGAGCTTCTTGGAACCAATTAATACATGTCCATAGCAACACTGAACTCCCTGTCAAGAATATGTGGCCTTACTTACTGTGAATATTACTTGAATGATAATATAAGCAGTATTTTCCTTCCTTTCTTCCGTCCTTTCTCTCTTTCTTTCCTTGTCCTCCAAGCCAGGGTCTTCTGCGTATCAGGGACCTGAAGGCATTCTCTAGCATATTTTTACATTTCTTCCAGGCAAAGAAACACCAATGTGCGCATAAAGAACAGGGGAATGTGCCAGAAGCCCTCTGCCTGCTCCGACTCCACTCAAAACTAAAAGGTACAGCTGTTCCAGAGAAGATAGCACAAAGCTGTCCCTCACCTGTACTTCTAATAAAACAGGAGCATTGCCATGTCTTGCACTTGGACTTCTTTCACACACAGCAGCCCCCTTTCCCTGACATTTGGAATATCTTCCTAGAAAATACAGTTTGTTTTGGTAATGGCCATAGGAGCTGAGAGAAAATTACTGGTGGAGCCCCACAGACAAGGCTAAGACATACCCAAAGAGAGAGCCAGGCTCCAGCATAACAAAGAGGCTCTTCTTTTGCATCAAGAATTTTGATTTCCTTTCCAGCATCCAAGCAATAAGAGATTTTAGCATTCTCATGACTTGCAATTCCGTTTGTTAAATAGAGGGCATTAAAGCCGTTGCTCCACGACGTTTGCCAGGAGGAGGAGTTCAACAAGACACCTCCATGCAGACCTGCCTCCAGCCTTGTCCATACACCAGCGCATCACACGGTCCCTGTACCCCGAGAGCCACCAACCGCAGACTCGACCTGCAGGTCACAGCTACCCAGTGCATCGGAAAACCAAAGGCTCCGTTTTTCCAGGCAAACCCCATTTTTTTCCCCTAGCGGCCCCGGTGAGCTTTGCTGCTGGCACCCACAGACTGCGGGCCAGCGGGCGGGGCGATGCGGAGCCCAGGGCAGCGGGACGAGGGGTGAGAGATGGAGAAAGGGATGTCTCGGCACTGGAGGCCGCTGTTGCTCCGCCTGAGCCGGTGCCGGAGCCGATCCCGCAGCTGGAGCTCGCAGCTGGAGGGAGGCGAGGCCGGGGCAGGCGGGGAGCGGCGCAGAGGGATGCCGGTGCTGCCCCTTCCAGCCCTGCAGCGATCCAAGAGCCGCTGCGGTGGGTTAGCGGAGGTGCTCAACTCAAACCAGGCTGGGACAGAGCTGTCGGCGGTGGGGGTTGAACACTGTCGGGGTCCCCCGTGAATTACAGCCCTCAACTATTCATACTTTTGGACAAACCAAATCCTTAGCAAATGCTGAACTTCGTTGTGGTTATAAAGATGCGTTTGAGTTCTCTTTATTATCCTTGAAGGGGCTGAAACACACAAACCTGCAGGATCAGCCTGAGAGAAGGCTCTAGCTCTCGCTTGAAATTTCAAATGCAACCAGCTGCAGCGGGGAGGGAGGGCAGCACGGGCTCCACATCCCAGATCTGCCAACAAGTCTGGCTGCGGTCGAGGGAGAGAGGAAAAACGACTCACTTTGCCCATATGTAAAATTAATGCACTGAAGGTGGTAGCCCCAAATAGGCTTGAGACTGTAAATTGCCTTAACATCTTTGCATAAAGGGGATCCTGGAAGTATGCCTCCCGCAGCTGGGATATTTCTGATTCTGCTGCGTCATGAGAAACAGAGCATAGCTTTTAGCTGGAGAGGTCTCTGCAAGTGGGGCTGGCAGGAGGGGAGGCTGAGCATCCTCACGCTGTTTGCTCACTGCTTTTGGACTTTGTGGCATGGCTAAACCCAGCTTAGCTCCAAACTCATCCAAGTTGGCTTCTTCCACTCAAAACACTGAAGAGAATGCACCGAGGCCATTTTATGCCAAGCAAAACATCTTTCCTGTCCGTGCCATTTCTGGAAAACATCACCCTGCATTAGCCAAGAATATTTCTTTGATGAAGCAAGGTGCTGACCAAGCTTGCAAAGCAGCAGGTTGGTCACGTCAGTTGGATGGTTGAGTGCAGACTGCATTTCCCCAGGCACTGCTCGGACACAACTAGCATTCCTGCTAAATGTCAGCCACATCCATTCAGCAGCAAGGTCCACATCAGGCTGGAGATTATAGGAGGCACCAGGTCAAGGGCCACCCTGTAGGTACTGCACAGCTGGGATGCAGGAGGCAGAACCAGCAGCAGATTTCCTGGAGGGAACAGTTGCTGTCCATATTCTGGTTTTGGCTTGACCAAGTGCAAACCTGAGGAAGCTTTAACAGGTGCAAAGATGTTTTATCGACCCCTAGACCAGGTTTAGTTTTACTTATAGGAGACTCATCCTCAAAAGCCAGTCTTCTGCCCCCATAAAGATTCTTCCCTAAAGCTGAGGAGAGAAGCACTTCATCTCAGCTGCTCCCCTACCATCTGATCACCAGCAGAGCCTGGAGCCATCCTGCTGGCAGCCAACATGACTTTTCTGAGACACCAGCTTGCTTCCCTGTGTCTCCTGATGCTGTTTCTCAGTGCTGGTGAGTTGACAGGGATAGAGCAAAAGGAAGAATGATGGGAGGAAGGGTAACGGTTTCAGTTCTTTTCTTCATTTGCCTAAATAGCTGCAGCCTTTCAAGCCACGTTCCAAGGGCAGCACTTCTGGCAGTGGGTGTTTGGGAGAGCCATAAGCACATTTCAAATGATGCAACTGGGGAAAAACAGGACTCGCCAAAACACAGGAAGAGCTCAGCCATCCGCCTCCATCCTCCTTCCCTTCTGGTTGCTGCCAGAGGGCTCAGCCAGGCCAGCCGGAAAGGCCAAGGGGTTCACAGGCACACAGTGGATGAGAAGGATCCCAAAGAATGGTACTAACAGAGGGGCAGCATTTATTGCCTGGGAAAGCAAGGGCACGGAGCAATGCAACATCAGCCCCGCCACCACATTGCTCAGAATAACAACTGCTTGAATGGCAAAGTGGGAAACACCAAAAATAACCATGCTGGTTGCAGCAACCGGGAATTCACAGAGAGCAAGATACCCGTATGGCCCAGCCCCACGCCAGCTCCCTGCCTGCCCGCCCTGGGGAGCACCAGCACATCTATGTAGAGGAGGAGCAGGTGCTTTGGACAAGCAATGCATCTGTTCCTCCTGCCATCCAGGGAGCATCTCTCCAGAACTCCTTTGCCAGGATTTGCTGTTCAGGTGGAAGCTTTTCAACGCAAGGTCCCATCCTGCTCAATGCCTCCAAAGCAGCTCTGGATTCTGCCAAGCCTCAAGAATGTCACAAGAGTGATGAAAACCAGACAGCAAGGACAGATGGCCCAGGGGAGCATTTCCTGATCACAAAACCATGTTTCTTTGAAATTGAGACTTTTCTGCTGGTAAAAATTGCTGTGAAATTCAGCCAGGGAAGTTCTTCCCCCTCTGCCTCCTGGAACACTCAACTGAAGCTCCCATCTGGGAAGGAACATCTACGTCCATTGAGGTGGTTTTTTTGACTTTATAACATCATGATAGCAAACTGAAGTCAGAATTAGACCTGGACCAAGGGACTTTAGTGACACGCAGGGCCACAGCTGAGAAGCATCTCTGGATTTCTGGCAGTTTTAAAACACTCCCATTTTCAGCCCTGTTTGGAAGAGGCAGCATTTGCACTGCCTTCACCCACTGCAGCCTTCCCTGGCCTTTCTCCACTAAGAAAGCTTCTATTTTAGCCACATTTTCAACATGAGATTCATTTTTCTAGCCCTGGAATAATCAGAGGCTTCCTCAGATGTGCTGCAGCTGCCAGAGAGTACTTTCCATGGGCTGTGTCCAGTTCCAGGAGGCTTTTATTGGGAGGGAGCTGCATTAAGCCCAGTTTGGCCAGCTGGCATAGAGAACTTCGCATTGCAGACACCGCATGGGCACCTGTCAGTGAAATGCTCTGTGTGTGCTGCCACGTACCACCTCCTGGATCTGGCCTTTTGCAAAGGGTACAGACAGCAGTGTCCCCATGCCCAGAGCAGAGGTTCTGCTCTCCTTTATGGGTCAGGTCTGCACAGACCTACGTAATCACTTCAGCTGCTGCTGTTGCCACAGCCTCAACTAAAGATGTCAGCAATGCCAGCAAACACAGTTTTATCATTGTGGAGAGATGGTTGCCTGTCACAGTGCAGCAGCACTGCTATGTTAGAGTGTTATGCTGCCGAGCTTGAGAAAAGAGAAGGAAATACCAACTTGTCCCACCTGAGTAGGAAATGATGGTGTTAAGTCTCTGCAAAGCAAAAGTCTCACCAAAATGGAAGGATGCTTTTAAACTGCAAATTTCCCTTCATCTAAACCACAGCTTAGGCTACCTAGGTGAAAAGCTGGTCTTGACAAATGTATGGGAATGAGCTAGAAGTGGCTCTGTACCAACACAAACTGTCCATGGGGCTTAATATGGCTGTAGCAGCAGCATCACTGAAGAGTGGACACTTCTCACTGGTGGGCTGAAAACACCACAATAACCACAGACAACCACAGCCACAACTAGAGCTGCAAGTCTGAATCAAGATCTCAGCCTTTGCTTTCGAATGTCTCTCTGAGCTGTTACAGACAAATCAAATGGCAGTAATAGTTTGTATTTCTATCAAAAGACAGCAAGCTTCCAGGAATGATGAGCATCTAAAGTGCTCTGCAGCCAGTGCAGACATCAAGGCAGCTATGCTAATGTATCCACACCAGTTTTCTGGCCTTCATCCTGCATCAGGCACACTCCACTTATGCCAGGGGACAAAGGGGCCTTAAGTGCCAGGTCTGCAGGGTGCTGGCACATGAAGCTGCATTCCTCACACTCTGCATGCTGTCGGAGACCTCCCAGCACTGCAGTTGGCATTAGCACTGCGGGTAGATTCAATGCTGAGAAGTTCTGCTTCCTTCCAGCTAAGCACAACTCCTGGAAAGCACCCAGGCAGAGGTCCTGTCCTTCACCTATGCCAGAACAATAACCTGCTGCAGCATGGCTCAGTGGGGGCAGATGGAAGGCTCTTCCCAAAAGCTTGAGCCCTTTGCGAGCCACAAAATGATGCCACAAATAGAAAATCACATGTGTAGTTTAAACCCCTATAGGGGTTGCTGGCCCCTGGGAGAAGGTCACATCCTTCCTGTCCCATCCTGGCACAGAGCATGTGAAGATCCACCCCCACTCCTGCTCTGCAGGGTGCTGGGAAGCTCTCCTTTCCTGGCAGATGGTGCTAATGCGGCTTGAAGCCACAAAGACATTAGGTCAGTGCAAGTGTCCAGCTTGCAGGTGGACACTTTCAGGACACCAAGATGTGATGCATTAATCAGAGACCCCCATCAGCCCTCTTTTCTGAAGTCAGTATGCATACAGGGAAACATCAGCCTTCCCTATGCACCCTGTCACACACTCTGGGGCACTCTGCCCCC